AGAGAGAGAGAGAGAGAGAGAGAGAGAGAGAGAGAGAGAGAGAGAGAGAGAGAGAGAGAGAGAGAGAGAGAGAAAGATGGATGTTTCATAGCTTTTATGTACAGCCATGTGTATGGTGGGTGTTTACTACTCGGGATAATTGGTAGAAAGCGCCCACGCCAAAACCTTTTCGGTTTTGGGCGCCCGAAACTCGACCGTTTGATACTACCGGCCCAATGACTTCCATGTGGGGTACTACAGGCCCACGCGTCGCGCCAATGGCCCTACCGGATCATGAATCTGGCGCATATCAGCGCCAGATTCATTTTGATGTAATTTTAATGTAAAAGAGGCCGACGGTGGTACGACTGAAGCATAGAATGAGGCCCACGTATGGTATTTTGAAAAAAAAGCATCCTACTGATTCATGAATCTGGCACAAAAACAGCGCCAAATTCTTGAACCGGTAAAAGCAGGCCCAAGGAGATGTTGCCACGGCGCGAATGTGCCGTCACCCAAGCTGAAGACGTTTGGGCCGGTAGTACCAAACGGCCGAGTTTCGGGCRCCCAAAACCGAAAAGGCTTTGGCGTGGGCTCTTTCTACCAATTATCCTGAATCAGGATAATTGGTAGAAARCGCTACCTGCCCAATGACTTCCATGTGGGGTACTACAGGCCCACGGGTCGCACAAAGGGCCCTACCGGATCATGAATCTGGCTCATATCAAGGGCAGATTCATTTTGATGTAAAAGAGGCCGAGGATGGTACTGCTGAAGTATAGAATGAGGCCCACCTACTATTTTGAAGAAGAAGCGCCCTGCGCCCTACCCCAAATTCTTGAACYGGTAAAAACAGGCCCAAGGAGATATGGCCASGGCGGGAAGGCTCCTTTCACCCAGGCTGAAGACGTTTGGGCAGGTAGTACCAAACGGCCRAGTTTYGGGCGGCCAAAAGGTTTTGGCGTGGGCTGTTTCTACCAATCATCCCGAATCTGGGCGTCTGTTTGCATCCTCCTTGAACCTGTAAAAAGAGGCCCAAGGAGATATGGCCACGGCGGGAAGGCTCCTTTCACCCAGGCTGAAGACTTTTGGGCAGGTAGTACCAAACGGCCGAGTTTTGGGCGGCCAAAACCGAAAAGGTTTTGGCGTGGGCTTTTTCTACCAGTCATCCCGAATCTGGGCGTCTGTTTGCATCCTCTGTAGAAACGCATACTCCACAAAGCCGCCTCGATTTTTTTTTATTTTTTTATTTTTTTTTATTTTTTATTTTGTTTTTCCGCCTCGAATTTCCTTCTCGTGGAGAGCCCCTATCGTCCGTTCGTAATCGTCGAACCCCCGAAGCCGCTGGACTGTAAGCATGAGCAGTCGCACCTTCCCAGTGTGCCAATGGGAAGCGTTCTCTGCGTTAGGCTGTAAGCAGGGCATTTCAAGTGAAGTGCTTTCCGCTGTCGCAGATGGCACCCACGTAGCTCCGATCTTGACGCTTYGGCACTCCAGTTAACCCGCACCCGTGGTAAGTATCTGGATATCATGCTACACTAAGCATGCTCTGTAAAAAATTGTCGAGCCTTTAGCCGAAACCCCGTCAAGACCGCGCGCATCGTTCATGGGATGATGGCCCTAACCCCTCATGAATGTTCAACATTGAGGCAGACGCGTTTTGTGATGACTGCACCGGGAACGGGCATAGTAACGACTTCCGCGCTACTCCGAAAGCTCGTTCTCTGCGTCCATCGTTTCGCCGTTCGTACACAGAGGCTCTCTCCACAATTCTGGAGAGCATGGGAAGCATAGGAGGCATGGAGAARGATGGACATGTTCCCTTTGCTATTCTGAATGACTCCGGCTCAAACAGCGAAAGAGAACCGGCCGCTTCCGCCGCCGAAGCGGGCTTGAATTGCGCGGAGCCTTGTAATCGTCTCCKCGTAGGCCCGTTTGGGCGCGTAACTGTCCTCAGAYTGTAACCAGTCCAGAACCTCGGTTACAAGCGATCTCTCCGGCTTGGACATCTTCCCAAATCTWTTATCCCGAAGTTCCCACGCGAGATACAGGAGCTCCCGCCGCGCCTTGAACTCTGCCTTCCTCTCCTCGTCTTCTTCTTGCACCGCTTTCCAATCCCGCCCTTCGTCGACTGTAGCGTCCGCCCCATCCTTGCTGAACGTCCCGATGKGAAAACGCATCTCTTSTGTTCTCCCTTCCKCRTGATTATTGGCTACGGCTACCGCGGATGCACGAATGATGCCGTCGTTGTCGACGTTCACAACAAGCTTCGCCACTGGTTTCCCATCGGCAGCCACCGGTTTGAATCCCGTCAACAGAAAGYCCCCCAGGTASTRGTTATCACGGCACAAGGCCCTCTCCCCTTGGTAGAACTTGAACTCGATCGCCTTCTGGTAATCGTATGCGCACTTAACATCAAGCTCCCCGATTGCCGGAAGGCGAGAGCTCTTGGGGATCACGCACATAGGCACCCTAGGCTTATGGTTTCCCATCACAAGGGGAGATAGAAAAGCTGCCTGCACGGCCGCACCATACGCCACCACTTCATTCGGATGAAAAAACTGATAACGGCGTCTTGAGGAAGAACTGCTTGAGCATCTTTCGGACCTTTTGGATCCGCGTTGATTCTCCGGCCAAAATCACGTCCGAGATGTCCTGATTAGTCATGTTGGCTCCTCGAACCGCTTCTTCAACGATCGCCATGCATTTTCGGAACAGCTCCTCGTTAATCTGTTCAAASKKAGMCMGGAGTATAGAYTGGTTCACATCTATATCTCCGCAGCAGAACTCGATKTCCGCCTCGTCTTGGCTGGACAAAGTGTGCTTCGCCGYACAGATAGCCTCCCTCACTCGCGGCAATACCTTCTCGTCSGCGAGAAKATCSCGACCCGTGTCACGCTTGTACTGCTCCGCAACATGCCTGATGAGGTTGTTCTCGAAGWCCGCACCTCCAAGATCAGAATCGCCTTTCACCTCGCGCACAAGTAGGCCGCCGCTCTCCAGGGCAATGATCGAGACGTCGAGAGTATCCCTTCCCAGATCGAAGACCACGATGTTCCCTCCACCAGACTCCTCTAGTTTCTGCTGATAAATATACGCTACTGCTGCTGCGGTCGGCTCATTCATCAGCTGCAGCACGTTCAAACCCGCTAGACGCCCTGCCTCTCTCGTGGCCTCCCGCTGACTCTCACTGAAGTGTGCGGGGACAGTTATCACAGCATCCTCGATCTGGGAATTCGCAAAGGCCTCGGCATTGCTTTTCATGTCCTTCAGCAGAAGGGAGGAAATTTCCGRGGGTGAGAACGTTTGCCTGCCGTCAGGTCCTTTTTCGAACCTTACAACGGCCATGTCTCGCTCTCCCGCGATGACTTCGAACGGCCACGTCCTCATGTACTTCTGGACCATGGGATGCCGAACAGACMTGCCCATCAGCCGCTTCACCTCGTAAACGCACTGCTTGGGTATACGCGTCCCATGCCTCACGGCCGATTGACCTACGAAGGTTCGCTTCTCCGTGAAARCGACGGAGGATGGAGTAATGCGACCGCCCTGARAGTTTGTAACGATSTCCACTTTACCATTTTGGAAAAGTGCCACACGGCAGAACGACGTACCCAGGTCGATCCCTATGACTGGCTTCGAGTGGGGCGKCGCCATGTCACCCAGATCATCCGCTTCTGTGCCTGTTCAAGAAAGATGGAGCACTAAACAAACAGCGACGCTCTACCTGCCCCTTCCACTAATCTATCTGCGCGCGCATCGACGTATCTTGCACGTAATTACACTWYAACAACCCGAGCCCGGAGCCAGACGCCTTTTTGGACCGCTTCAATGATACGGATACATGTCATGCCGGGCTAGGAGTTCCGCCTCCTGCGCTTCGCCCCCTTCCTCGATTCGCATTCCAAGCAGTGTAGCCGCTCCGCCCGGCGAGAGATTTCAACGAGTCCACCCCAACGTAATTACCTATCGAACCCAGCTTCCAGCAATCAAGCAAAGTCCACCAGGATGTGCCCTGCCACTGCTTCTGYTGMGCAAGTAGGCGAAACTTATCTTACAATATCACGGTTAACAGGGACCGTACATGTGCGCGCTCAAACCTGGCCGGCAGTGAGGTCACACTTGCGTACACGACRGAAAAGGGTTGTCGCACGCTGGTCTTGAGGTAAGCCAGTGTGATAGCTGGAGGATCAACGCTTGTGTGCTCACCSTGTGCTGCTCAATGAAAGTCCTCGTACCGATTTTCCCCGAACACAGCGTACCSGCAWCATAGCCATGACCTGSCAGAGACTCAGAGAGTGCCTTATGTTCGGGRGAATAGGATAGACGCGGYAGATTTGGGGAGCTTCCCACTTTGAGAAGGAAGGAAAATGATCTGACAAAATAGCGGGTAAGCAGGACTCGAGATCAACCACTCTCTTACAGCCCAACCTGTGGGAAATCACGTACAACATAGAATATGCCTCTTTCTCAAAGATGGCACCGTTAAAGAACAGAGACTTTTACATCATCGTTTTCAGCCCGAAATAACGAGATCAATCTCTATACGAATTGTGCGTCCGTTCGCCTTCTCYTTCGGCTTTACTCCGTTTCCACCCTCGACGTACGGTGTCCAGTACGTGSAAAAGTATTATCGACCAAAGAATCCTTAGCTATGCAAGCTGTTTTGACTCCTCCCATGCACCCCTTCTCCGCATGACTTTGCACCGCGCAAATAATCCCCATCCCTCACTCTCACCTCCTCTCCCTCCTTGCTCTCCTTCGAGTGAGGCTTTCYCCCAATCCCCTGGTGAGCTGTCCACGAAGCGTGTTCTCTAACCATTCTTCCCTACCCTTCCCATCCTCTCCGTCATCCATCAGCAGGTCTATACCATTTGCTGTAAACCAGTTGTACGGCTTTGCTCTTGCGCCACTAACCTTGTCTGCCCTCAGTCCATCGACCTCCCTTTCCTTCACMTCCGAGCACCACTTCCTGTCTTCCAGGAGAACCTTTCATCAATACTCTCCAATCCTAACGTCGCTGTCGCTCGTTGTCATCGGCTGATAAGAAGAAAGGCACGTCTTCCGCTTCTCTTCGTTTGACCTTAAAACAGAAACTCGGTTTGCATTTCGATGGTGCAGAAAACTCTGCGGAATCCCTCATCCGTTTGCACTCCCCTAAAAGAGAGTAATCTTGTCCCTGACARAGAACTGCAATGAAATCAGAAACAGCACATACAAATAAGGAGGGCAGTACATTGCATTCTCTCCCCAAGCTCAGTTGTTTCAGAGCACAATTGAAACTCAAATCAAAGCACAGCGAGAGCAATAAACAGCAATTTAACCACCAAAGAATAGTCATATAGGTGGAAACGGATTGGCGGCTACAACGAAATCAATATATCATCTCTCTCTCTCTCTCTCTCTCTCTCTCTCTCTCTCTCTCTCTCTCTCTCTCTCTCTCTCTCTCTCTCACGCACACACACACACACACACACAGACAAACACAGTGTGTATGTATGTCTGTTTGTGTGTGTGTGCGTGTCTGTGCACTCGTTTGCTTTCCCCCGCACGTGTTCGTGTGTATGCTTGTGTGACTGACTGTACCCGTGGGTTGGTGTCTGTCTGCGCGACCTTGTTTGWATGTGCGCRTGCGTGACTCTGCGAKCGCGGGAGAGACAGCGCTCGTGCGGAAGTGTGGCAATCTGGCTGCTTGTTTGTGTGTACGCGGTACGTGAGAGAAAGTGCACGGAAGCTGGTGGGGCAAYACTTCGGATGAGCAGTTTTGCCATCGAYGTTACTTTCTTTTAACATTCCGGTAAATCCATAAATGTGCCAGCCAGTCCCCATACAGAGAACGCATCGACAGCACGTTGTTTGGGCAGAAAATACCAGACAGTGAGTGCAGGTAGTAGATGGGGCAACAGTTGGGAGCGCTTTCCAGATCACCTAAAGCGGTGTCGACGATCTCTCCCTGAGCACCATTTCGTGCTRCGAAGGCAGCTTCTCTGGTTCTGTGGCCTGCTGCTCACGAATACTCATTCAGCACAAAATCTATTCAGGGAACAGCTCGAGTAACTATAACGCGTTAGCGAACATGAAATCAATCAATAAAAATAGAAACAGCAAACCATTTCTTCCCCCCACTGGTATACGTTTTATGAACGCAGGTTGGAGAAGGGAGGACGTCAGACGACAGAGAGCAACGGCGCCAAGGRAAAGGACAAAGCCCAAGCCCGCGAATGAATAGAAGAGGGGCAGAGGAGGAAAGCTGGACCGCCGCCCTCCAAGGGCGCGTGGTAAAATAAAATTTATTCTACGAAGAGAAGAGGAAATAGAAGGASAAGGGACMGAGAAGMGGGACAATGATAACACCCTGACTTCAAGACTAAATTCAAAATTCCCCTTCAGAGGGGACCAGATCGTCGCATGCTTACCTGCACGCACCGGAGCTCCCCCGCTACTCATCGTTCTTCTTCTTCTTCACTCCCTCCAGTCTGCTGGCTMCACCTAGCGAGGCCGATAACTGGATYTCCCTACTTCACGTCAAATACTGTATTTCCCTACTTGTACAACACGCTCGTTGTGCACTCGTGCTATCCACATAACAAGTTCTGTCCTACCGGCTACAGCTACTGCTCTATCGTGCAGACACATACTCACCCTCCCTCCCTTCCTCTTGCCAACATCATACCACCTCCATTCGCCTTCATTTCGTCACAACCTCTTACGCGCTGTCCCTTCTTTTCGTCGCATATTCTCTCGTGCTGTCACTTCTTTTCACGCACTGCCAGTCCCTCCTTTTCCAATCTCCCTCGCTTCGTCCGCTCTCCCTCTCTACAGTGGATGGCTGGCCGGAGCGAGAAAAGTATGTTCTGAWGAGAAAAGCATCYGTACACAGACAATTACCARAAGCGCCCAGGGAGAGACCCACGCCCTCCTCCTTCTGGGTCCCCTCCTTCTGGGTCCCCTYGATCCCTCGATTGTCGCTCGTCTTCTCAACTCCGTCAATACAACATTAACTTAAAGACAGAAAAGGGATGAAATTAGGTACAACTGGAGCGGCCACGCTGCAGATACCTACCCACACGGGTGTACKAACGGGGTATTCAGGGTCTCGCCACACCACTCTATAAATGTGAAAGAGGCAAAAATGTGGCGGGTGCATCTGGCCACGGTCTAGCGGGACGTTCTTCCTCATTTTGTGCATTTCGAGAGCGGTGTGGCGATGCCCTCAATCGAGGAAGCGATGTTGGCCGGGTTATTGGGGCAGCCAATGCCAGCCATGCTGTGGGTCGGGAGCGACAAGGCCGCGGATACCCCAGTCAACATTGCTGTGCTGCCCCAATTGAACACCCGTGTGACGAAGATGCGCCGCAGCCATCTGAGGGCATCGCAACAGAAGTCTCGAAATGTGCAAAATGAGAATGAACGTGTCCTTAGAGGATGGCCAGATGATGCACCCGCCACATTTTGGTCTTTTTCACATTGGGAGAGTGATGTGGCGAGGCCCTAAGCGCGTTTCGCGCCCGAGGGAGGAGACGTCATAGAGCCTCGCCGCACCACTAGCCAAACGCACAAACGACGAAAACCATGGCGCGCAACTGTCTGAGTGCTAGGGGAAGATTCAGTTTCTCTTTGCACCATACTTTCTCATCTTGTTCGTCAGTGCACAGTGCTTTGCCGGTAATAAGTAAAATGAGCGGCCAGATGCAGTTTTTCCTTTACAAGGACTCAATCTGGCCGCGCATTCTGTGATTCTGCGATTTGAGCGCCTAATGTGACTATGCCCTAACCGAACTGGCGGCAAAACACCAAAATTTGCGGCCGTTGCGACTCGCGGTTCGCCATTTTCTTTTTTTCTTTTCTTTTTTTTTAAAGAAACTCTGCCCATTATTATTACCACACAAGTTCGCCATTTTCTATGTTGCGCAGCCACACAGGGGCTCGGACCCACTAGCCAAGTCTTTTACGATGTGTGCCGCATTTTTGGCCTTTTTTTATTGCTTTATAATAGTTTCTCGGATTTATAAACATCCCAGAATGGCAATTTTTTTTTTTTTTAAACAGCGGTCTGTATGCCGTCGCCCTGGATCCACGGCGTGGTCCCTGAAAATTCGTGTCAGGTATGAGTGCTTCGCCACCTCGTACGTTCGTCCCCAGTGTGCTGAATTCAGTGTGAGTGTCCATCGACCTGGACCCCACGTGCGGCTATATTCATGAACCTGCCTCCCTCCTTCCCGAGAGGGACTTGGGCAGAAGTGGAAACACACGGTTCGGGATGTTGGCCTTCCTCAGTGAAGGAACATGGCTGTATAGCTCCGGTTGGGCTGACGAGGGCTTCAGACGTTGGGCTGGCGGTCGGGCAAGTCTTGGGGCCCATCCAACGTGCAGCGGATTGACGCATGTATGCTTCGTCACATGTGTGCTCCTCGCTAGCACACATGTTGGGTTAGGTTAGTTACAGCTATTGGGGTGCCTCCCTTGGGTTCAGTT